TTCTTAGGTGGAGTTCCTGTACATAATTCGAGTTCACTTTTTGCATTTTAGAAAGTCTTCTAGTTTTCCCTGTGTACACAACCATCTCTTGTACTCCATGCTGTTTTATTCTGAGGGCTCATTGGATATGGGGCGTGTTCTTAGCTCCTGGTTGTAGAAAGCAAATTTCAGGAACATTATACATCTTGCTCCTGCAAAGTCACAGCCAGGAAACACAGCCTGGGACCTCCGCGGGTCTCTGTGGTCAGCCCTGGAGGAAAATCCCGAAGCCAGGACTTGCTGGGGTGCAGGGCGGACTCTGCTAACAGAGTAGCGTGCGGTGATACCAGCTGCCCTCGGGGAGAACAGCCCACGCGTGCACATGCACCTTCTTTTACAGGTCTACATCTGCCTCTCCTCCCTGCATCTTTAGCAGATTTTTAAAAATTTTGTTTTATAAACCAAACTATTACGATTTGATTTTTTACTAGCAGAATCGAATATTTCCTGATTTTTTTTAAAAAATCATATATATCTCTTATTTTGTCAGTTATCTGGATGTTTAACCCATTTCTGGTTGAAATATTACTCTATATTGATGACATGATACATTTCAGAAAAAACTAAGTTGATACTTGTTAACTTTTTAGGGATTGAAGTCTTGATAATTCTGCTTATGGCATTTTTAATGCATCGCAGTTTAAATAATAAATAAAATTAATAATAAATAATTTAACCGTTATGAAATCTGCCAGTCTCTTCTGTAGATAGCTCCAGCCACCGCTTGATCTATACAAATTCCATCTCCAGTCAAGGGATCTCCTTGCTCCAATATGTTGTGTTTACTTTTTTTGTTTTACATTTTATTTTCATTATTTTTGAAAACTGTTTTGCTTATGCCCCATTTGGTTTCCATCTTCTTTATACAATTCTTTAGTTTGATGAATATGTCTGTACTCTAGTGGGCCAACCAATTTGTATTCTTTTAAAATAAAATGAATTCTATTTCTGGTAATCTGTCCTTAGAATGTATAGGTACAAAAAAACTGCCTAGCCTACTTTCTGTAGCCTCTGCCTGTTTTTGGTTTTGTTTTGTTTTCTTCCCCTTTTTACTAAGACTAGTAGCAATCAGCACGTGGTGTGGGAGCACTGATGACCCCTCTAGAACTTTGCCTGTCTGTTTAGCCCTGGCTCCAGGCTTCCCGGGCCATGGCATGGAGTGACCCTGATGGGAGCGGGAGGACCGAGGGGCCAGGCTCAGTCATGAAAAGCAGCAGTGGCTTGGACGCTTCCTGGTCTTGTTAAACCTGCTGATGAGGTGTAGAAGGACTTGTCATTGCTGTCTGGGCCTTGAGGGCTGTGTGTTAGTTCAGGAGTGCAGCCATGATGACTTAGCCCGTGCCTCAGAGCTCCACCCCAGAGCAGTTTAGCCAGGATGACTTCCAGTTTGCCCATGACAGGAAACACGTGGGTATTTCAGAGATAGGGAATGAATACCCGGAAATGGGATGCACCGCGTTGGTGGGCAGCTGCAGGCCAGGCCTCTGGATGGATTCCCAGCACAGTGCCCTAGAACCAGCCTGCCAGTGTCCCGGCTAGCTTTCTGGGAGTTAGGAAATCACCGTCCCAGCCATTGGCTCCAAGATCCTACTTTCTCAGCCACTGCCATAACTGTTGGCTAGCTCTGCCAGGTCTGACCAGAGAGATAGACGGCCCATTCAGCCCTCTCCACGCTCTTCCAATCCAGGTTGGCCCAGCAACTAGAGCTGGGTTTGACCCTGAGAGTTGTTTTGAAGTCAGACTCTAAATCGTGTATGAAACACGTCCTGCAAGAGCACCTGGCAGTATTATTTTTAGCCTTTCAATCCACACTGCAGGAGCGCATGCCTGAGGCTGGAGTCCAGGTGATGGTGAAAGCTTGGCACAGCCCTGCCACTTGGTTGTCCTAGGCACCCATGGCGCATGGGGCTGGGGCGCTATGGTCAGTATGGATTGGAACATTAGAATCTGTTAGTTGGTGACTGCCTTGACGAGCAGAGACAAAGGGGCAGGAAAAGACGGGTGACCTGGGTAACGTTGGAGATCAGACCCATTACACCGCGTCTCAGTCTTGCACTTGTCAGAGCGTTAAACCTGTGTGTCAGTGTGCTTTAAACGCTAAACATTCACCGAGCCTTTGCCTCCTGGATGACCCGTTGCTGATCTTATCTGGAGTAATTGAGAGAGCCAGGTCATCGCGGTTTCCTCATACTTCTGACATTCTTCAGGGCAGTTCTTCGAGAGATAACTTTCTGCTGGAACCTATGTTATTTTCCTGGTGCATTTTTGTCAGTACTACAAGTGGAAGTCAAACAAGGGAGCCAGCTCGGTGTGGATTCCCCTAGTCCCACCCCACCCCCAGCCAAATGGAATGCACCTCTGGTGGCTGCTGGTGTTGGAAGGGTGTCGTTTTAGGTGGATCCCAGGCACAAGTGACCCTTATCTCCCATAGCCTGCTGGGGCCTCCCACGCACTTAGTTGACTCAGATACACTGGCAGTTCTCATCTGTGATCGAGAGGGCTTGAGACACCTGGCGGCCGCCTTGCCCTGAACTCCCTGGCTCGAACCACTCAGCACGGGTGGGGCCCACAGGCTGAGCTCAGAGGTGCCAGCCAGCCCTTCTCCCCAGGCAACCTTTCTTCCCATTCCAGGATGTGATCAGCTGTCCTCTACTGTTGCAATTTTCCAAAGCCAAGTGTAATAGTGGTCAGGTGGCTGAGGTTGTAAGAGTACTGGCCATTTTCTCCACTCCCCTGAATGCCTCTATTAACATCTCGTGTCTCCCGGCCATTTAATAAAAGTGTAATGTGCTCCTTTGCTTATTTAATCTCAATAAACTAACGCATCAGTGGGAAGTCTCGGTGGAGATGCTAAGCCCCACCCAGGTGCGACTCGCTTACAGGTGTGTGAGGGTCCCTCTCTCGGATTGTGTCAGCTGAGCCAGCAAACAGAATGAATGCACACATGACGCCTTAGGGCACATGTTAAGGCGGATCTGCCTTCCCGAACCTAGCAATAGGTTGCATGGCAAAGGCCATTTATTATTAAAATCCGGGCTTGCGTCCAGGAGCACGTTATCCTTGGGCTTTCGGTAGCAGCACACAGCAGTGGTTCGTGTCTCACGTCTGAGTGTCTCCCTGTGCTTGGAAGTAGGTTGTTTCTGCTCCATCCAGGGTGAGGAGGTTTGGGGATTTTGTCCTCACAATGGCAGGGAGAGGGAGGCAGGATCACGCAGATGTCCCTGGAAGCAGGGGAAGTCAGCCCCGGGTTGGCAGGATCACCCGGCTGGCTCGCTAAACCAGACGGCTTTGTGCCTCTCCCCAAGTTCCCGCACAGTGGGTCCGGGCTGGGGTCGGAAAATCCACTTTTCTCGCTCCTTCCCAGGGCTGCAGATGCCCTGATTCCTGTGGTTCCGGAGCATGTGTTGAGGGCCTCTGGAATGGTCATGGAAGAGAGTTGCCAGAACTCTCCATAAGGGTCTGCGGGCGGGTCCAGCAGTGCCCTTGTCCCGGATACAGGAACAAACCTGAGCTGTCCTGGCCTGTTGTGTTCCCAATCCTTGATCCCTTTCTTCCTGAGCTTGGCAGTGTGGACTCCTGGAACCAGATGGGGTGGAGTTGATCTCTCTTCTAGGTCTCTAGAAAGGACAGCTGCCCCTGGCACTGTTCAGTGTGGCCAGAAGTCCAGAGCAGCAGGGGGGACAGTGCGAGAGCAGCCCCTTCCCACTCTGTCCAGACACAGGGCCTTTCTCTGCTCTGCGACCTTGGCTTCACCCACATCCCAGTGAAGCAGAGACCCCCAGCCATAGAGTCCGAAGCTCCACTGGGCTGCTCAGAAGTCTGGAGACAGGGGCGGGACCTGAGCATATAAGGGTCCCCTGTATTCCACTCTGGGCCTCAAAGTAGACAGAGGGGGCGGGGCAGAGACATCTAGGAAGACAGAGCCAGGCCAGGTCCCAGCCTTCCTGGGCCCAACCCCCTCTATCCCTGCATCTGGTGCACCTCTCGCTCTGGGTCCCCACCTCCCCAGTCCTGGTGCAAGCATCACCCCTGCCTGGTGGCCCCTCCTACCCAGAGCTGAACCGGAAGCCCCTGAAATTTAGCCACTTCCTCCCTCCACAGGAGGGCATCCATACTCAGAGGGCAGGCACACACGAGGTGTGAGGGTGGGGTGCTCAGTCTCAGAGCACCAGCCAGTGGGAGCTCCTGATTCAGCAGAGAGCTGTGTGTGGCCCTGGGTGGACGGACCACACGTCACCGAGTGGTATCCGCACAGGTGTCTCTCTTGCCTCTGCAAATGGAGAAAGAAAGTGGAGGATTATTTCGATTTTCCGTATTAAATAGTACATCTTAACTGTGCAAAATAGGATGGCTGTTGTATTTACCCATGGATTGGCTTTCTCTCCAAGTAACCTGGTTCAATTTATATCATAAAACACAAGGAACATTCAGAAGGAAAAGCAAGCGTGCTCCAGTTCCTATTTTAGTGTTCACTGTTCGCTCTTGCCTTTGTCATTAAGACTGTGGTTTGGGGAGCACTGTGGAATGAAAATGCCAAAACCCCTTCCATATCCCCCTGTCGCTGTCCTGCCCGGTGCAGAAGGTCGGCAGCTATGCTGGGTAAGAGGGAGATCACTGGTCACCAGGACCCAGAGGTGCCTCATCTCTGGCTGTCCCCATGTCCCTCTCTTTCTTGTGGTGTTGGGAACAGAAGGGGTACATAGCCTCGAATTTCACATCCCATTGCCTCAAGACTGAGTGGTTCCATTCCAGGCTAAAACAACTGCGTTTCCGTTTGTGGGCAAATGATATTTTCTCACTGAATTCTCAGAAGCATTGACAAGATGCTTAATGGTCCGTGTGACACAGCCCAGAAGACAGGGCCGTGATCCTTGCAGGGTTATTGTACTGCTATTGTGATTGTGTACGACCAGCTCTGTGTACATGTCTGTCTGATTTGTTTTCTATTTGCCCCTCTCTAGTGGGATCTTGTGTGTGACAATGCCTGGAAGGTCCATATCGCTAAGTTCTCCCTGCTGGTTGGATTAATCTTTGGCTACCTAATAACTGGATGCATTGCTGACTGGTGAGTACCGACATGCAGCTACAGAGTCTTGGGATGCCGTGCCATGCTTATTCTGGCTGCAGAGAGGTGGCCTGTGTTAGCGAACTCTTGCTGTCTCTTTTCTCTGTCCTGGTGTTGAGGCCAGAGCTGAAAGCTGCACCTACTATCTGGAGCACACAGAGCTAAAAGAATTGGCCATTGCATGTAACAGAACACTTGGGAGTGAAAATTTTAAATGCATGCAGTTCTCCAGCTGCTAGAATCTGGCAAAACCAGAATGCAGCCTAACTGAGTAGTGACATTGGATATGGAGGGACCGCTTGAGGACTCCAGGGCAGAGCTCTGTGGGCTGGCAACTGAGCAGCAGATGTACCGGATACATTCAAAAGTTGAGGGTTTGCGGGTGAAGGTGGTGTGGTGATATTGACCTATAGTTCCAGCAGGAGGCTGCGGCAGAAGCTGACTTGAGCTCAGGAGTTTGAGGTGAGCCTGAGTAACACAGAAAAAGCCTGTCTCAAAAAAAGGTTAAAATAGGAGAGGAGCTACAGACCATTCTCCAGTAGGATCTGGATGGGGGTATAGTGTTGATTCGCATCTCAGAATGTCACACGCTTTTGAGACAGTCCTTACCTGGGCAGGAGATGCCTGTCCGAGAAGCATGGGCAGGAAAACCTTGGAAGATAACAGCATTGCAGGCAGGGGCAGAGTTGGGGAGGAGGTGAGGGTACTGGGGCAAAGCATGGGTTGGCAATGGGGGGGAAGAGTAGGCAAGTTATTAATGACAATGACAATGACATCACAGCATCGGGGCACTTGCTGACGATCCCAGACCTTCCAAGTCCCATCCTCAGTTACCCCGTTAGGTAGGGGCTGTCACTACCCCTGTTTTCTCATTGAGAAGCTGGTGCACAGAGGGGTAAATAAACCCAGGCTCAGCCAGCTTTAAGCTGGGGAGTCAGGACTTGACCCCAGGCCGCATGGCCCCAGGGCCCAGTGCTACAGTGCTTTTCCTTAGGACTTTCCATGGTCACAAGACATCATGGGGCCGTGCCCCAGCAGGAGGACAGCTGCACCGTGTGGGGGGCTGCCCAGCCACGGAGGACTGGCATTACTATCTCGCCATCCACTCTTCAGTGGAATCTTTTTTTGTCGCTTGCTGTGCCGTGAATCAGCACATCTTGGACCTGATGACTGTGTGTTTCCGCAAAGCCTGTGTACCCTGGTTAACTGAGAAGGCTGGCTAGGGCCAGAGCTGGGTGTGCGGGGTAGGGTGGAGGGGGGGGAGCAGCAGAGTTCCGAGGCCGCTCTGGAGTGGTGGAAATTTCCTTCCACCAGCCGTGTCTGTTTGGGAGTCCCTTGCACTAATGTATAATGTGATTTCCTGTGTACTCGGAATCTGCCAAGTCATCATTTGTAAACGCTTCCTAGGGACACAGGCTCTGCAGACAGACACAGAAAAGCAGCTAGTGACCTTGGGAGACCTAGAGCAGGGCCCCTTTGGCTTTTTGACTTACTTTTGGTTTTTGAGAGAAGAAGAAGGTAGAATTTTATTCAGTCAAAAGTGGCTTGAGTTCATAAATTTTCAGCATAAGCTATGTTGGCCTAAAGGACACTGTTTCCCAGAAATCTGCATTAAAATAGATCAGCCATATATACTAATAAGACCTGTGCCATCATCTTCTTGAACAATGCAGACTTGGTGAAGTTTTTAGTGTCTTTATTAAATAAGTGATTTAATAGGAAAGTCAGTCCTGGCTTTTATTATGAACCAGTCTGTGATGGTGCAAATGCCCTCAGGGCTATTTTGTGATGTCTTATTCTTGTATGTACACACTGAGTGGCCTCCCGATCACACCCAGACCAGGGACAAAAGGCCAGAGAGTCGGGGTCCTGCTCTGGGAGCACCTGGAGTCCCTCACTGCCAGTGCTCTGAGCTACAGCCACCTTTCCCAGGCTCCATAGGGAATGAATGGGCCAGAGGACAGCTCTGCTCTGGTGGCTGTGTGGGCATTCCAAGTGGCTTTTTCTTTTTGGGGTTTTATTTTCTTTTTAACTGGCATTTGACTTCTTACTTGAAACAAGCCCAGGGAAAGGAATTCCAGGCCTCGTAGCTGAAAGCCAGTCTCCTGGCTGCGACAGGAAAGCTGACCAAAGTTAGAGGCTCCGCTTTCTGAGGTGTCCATCCTCGTGTGTGAGCATTTAAGTAGTGCGCTACTTTCTTGAAAGCTGTGTTGCCAGTGCACGCTTCATCTGGGGAAACTGAGACACCATCAGGGACCCTTACGTAGCACGGTGGGCAGGTGGTGGGGAGAGCACAGAGCGTGCACCCCTGTGCCCACCGGTGCTCCTGCCTTTGCAGCAGCTATGACGCTCACACCAGAAGGATCCTGTGTTCAGCTCCTGGCCTCAAGTGTTGGACCTGAGCTGTGGGCCTCGGGGTAGATGAGGGGCTCTCAGGGAAAGCGACACCCCAACAAGGCCCTGCCAGCAGCTCCCCTCTGTGGGCTCCTTGCCACCAAGAGCTGAAAGGTTGAACCTTGTCCCTTGAGGGTTCTCTTCTGGCTTGATCACTCTGTAAATATTCAAATCTCAGCCAGTGACTTCATGGAGCTGTGACTGCTTCCTGTAGAGACCCCTGGTGGCTGCCGTCACAGGTTACTGCAGGCTCGGTGGCTTCAGCCACACAAATGAACCATCTGACAGTCTCGTGGGTCCCAAGCCCATTAGGGGCCTCTCTGGGCCGAAGCCAGGGTGTCAGGGGGCAGCACTGTTTTCGCCAACCCTAGAGACAGTCCTTTCCTAGCCTTTCCCAGCTTTGGATCTGGCTGTGTTCTGGGTTCGAGCCCCTCCCTCCATCCCCCCTCCACACCGCACCCTCCCTGGTTCCCTCAGTCCGTGGGAGGTGCCCACCCACAGAACCCTTGATCGCCAGGTCCTTAATCTTAATCCCACCTGCAGATTAGGACTTGAGTACCTTTGGGGTCTGTTACTGTGCCTACCACAGATCCTGAGTAATCAAGCCTCGCTTTGCAGGCTAAGGAGTGAGAGAGAATTCTGTCATCTCTGGGTGGGTTTCACTCTGCAGAGCCATGGCCTACGAAACCTCCCAGGCTCTAATTTCTAGTGACTGCTTGCTGAGTCCCCCACTCCTCTGCACTCCACAAGAGCCCTGCTAGGGAGACATTAGCTGGCTCTTAGGAAAAGGAATGCAAGGCTCCTTAGTTCAAGCTTGATCTTTCCCAAGACCATCTTCCAGAAGTGCTTTGAGTTTGGATTTCAAACCGGGCACACCAACTTCAAAGACCTCACCGCCTCTCCAGTCCCTGATAATAAGGTTTACTTACTGATTTCAGCAACCATTTGAGAGGGGAAACGTAGAATGGTTTTAAAAAGATTAAAAACATCAAGCGTCTTTTCTAAAAAGTATCAGAACACTGCAAACCACCTGTGGCCACCGTCAGAGATGTAGAAATGCAGGAAGGAAGAGAGCGCAAACATTTAGATACCTTGGGCTGGGTGTTGTGTTAATAGCTGACATCTCTTTTCATGCATGCCTCAGTAAACCTGTAAAGTAAGATACATATGCCCATTTCACAGATGAGGTAGGTAAAGGGCAAAAACAATGGATGTCAGGTTTTGTTTCGTTTTGTTTCATTTTAGGAATCATGTAAATTTATATCTGTAAATGAGTTAGGTATGAACAAAATCATCGGTAAGGCCTTTCCTGGTAGGAGCTTCATGGCCACAGCAAAGTGAGGGGGGAGAAAAGGCTGAGATCTCCACACCAGGTCCTTGGCTTTTGCCATGGAGCTCGTAGCCTTGGCTTCATTTCCCAAAACCAGTGTGGCTAACGGAGATGGTTAGGAGTTTAGAAAGTCCTGGAGGAAAAGCTGCCCAGTTGTTTCTGCTCCTGCATTTTCTTAAAATGGCATTTATCTCCTTTAGAGTAAGGCCCTGGCTTGCTGGTTATTACTGTTGAGAAAGAGAGAGAGAGAGAGAGACAGAGAGAGAGACAAAGAGCGATTCCTTGAGAGATAATTCATATGCCATAAAACCTACTTATTTAAAGCCCACAACTCAGGGAGTTTGAGCATATTTAGAGAATTATACAGCCGTCACCCGCTCTGAGTCTGAAACATTTCCACCCCTTTAAAATGATGCTGAAGTGTGCTCACGCACATCCCCTCCAGTCCCAGACTTGGGCGAGCACAGACTGCCCTTTTCCGGGCGTCTTCCTTCTCCTTAGGTCATCAGCTGCCCTTGGTGGCAGTTAGGGTCCCTCGTGTGTTTCTGTGCCCTACACCCCTTTTTTTCTTTCCTGGCAAATGTCAGCCACTCCGCCCCATCTTTCTGAGGCTACGCTTGCAGTCCCAGCCAACTGATGCATTTTAGTTTAGTGAGTTATTGTCACACTTTTATCTTGAATGAGTTAATACAGGAAAAGATAGAAAGTTAATAAGGGGCTATGAGGAGCAAGTGATTCCCCATCTTTGAACCCCACTGCCTTGCCAGCCCCCCAGAAGCATGGCACCCACTACTGGTCCCCTCGTCTGGCCCAGAGGGTAATCCGTGAATTTATGTGACTGCTTCACCCAGCACACGCTGGCAGCTCCGCACCGGTTATTTAAAGTTCAGATTAGGTGACTCGGCCTAGCATATGAGCCTTACAAATCACTGCTTGTCATGAAACTGAACACACTGGCAGCTGCCTGTGAGCTCAGGTACCTGTCTTAGCCAACAGCCTGGACACCGGAAGTAAAGCTGCCTGGCTCGCTCCACACCCTGTCTGGCTCTCCATCCAGTTCCAAAGGTCAGCGGTGTCTCAAGACGTTTTATGCCGGGCATGTCTGGCTTTGTGTTGGGGGAGTTCTTACTGATTGGGGGCCTCCTGGCTTTCTCACCACTGTTTATACCCAGACATAGACTCAGCAACAGGAACTGGGTTCAAGTCTCAGTCTTTACCTAGGTGCTCTTTGACCTCTGCGCCCTCAGCTCCAGGGTTGGGCTAAATGTCCCCTTGGCTGTCCTCGGCAGTAGGCCATGACCTAGCACAGTGGGTCTAGAGTATGAAGACTTTGTGCCCCTGCGTACTCAGCGTATACAGAGCACCTGCTGGATACTGGCTTTCTGCACTGCCACTGCCACCTTGCTTAACAATGATCCCCACTTTGTCCCCATCTACAGGGTTGGCCGCCGGCCTGTGCTACTGTTCTCCGTCATCTTCATTCTGATCTTTGGCCTGACCGTGGCGCTCTCGGTGAACGTGACGATGTTCAGCACACTCAGGTTCTTTGAAGGATTTTGCCTGGCTGGGATAATTCTCACCTTGTACGCCATACGTAAGTAGGACTCTCCATTCCTGTCCCTTGGAGGCAGCCGTTACACCTGCCTGGGGGCTTCGGGAAGGGACACCTCGCAGGCTGGCTGTTTGGGGCAGCAGTCTTGGAAGCGCAAACTTTAGCGGTCTGGATGGTTCTGGAAGAAGATGTTTAGGCAACACCACCGAACATTTATTGAGTTTTTGCCTCCAGCTTGGGCTCAGGGTGCAACAGAGGTCATGTTAGGTCGCATAATGGCTTGGAGTTGTGGGATTGGCCAAGAGCACACGTGGATTTGGCTTTCCTGCAGATCTTCCTCTTGATAGTCTGTGTACACACAAACCCAGTCCGTAACTGGGTATCCGTGTACTCAGTTCCGGATGGGTATACCAGGTGCTCATTCAGGTGTGATCTGACCGAGCCCTGCAGTGCTTCGTGTTTCTTCTTCTCACGGCCATAGAGTCCAAATTTTCTACATGTGCATGTGCCCCTGGGTGGTCTGGAATTGAACTCCAAATGCTAATCCTACATGAACAAATGACATGATTTGGTAGTATTTGCTCTTAAAAAAAAAAAAAAGGACGAGGCACATTTTCACCCATTGAATGTCATGTTGTTGGGCAAATGAGGTCTGCTGTCAAATACGCTTTGTTTCATTTATTTGTAGTTGATTTTCTAGAAGACAACTACATTCTGTAAGAGGAGAATTTCAGGGTTGGTGTTTTAATCACGAGTGTTTTACTTTTCGGTCACCACATGGAAAGATCTTTGGGTACACTGAGTGATAACTGGATTTGGTCTTTCTTCCTTTGACAACATTGATAAAATTTGAGTATAGACTTGGTAGCAATTTGCGGTGTGATAAAATACAAATAGCTCTAATTGCCTTGCATAGTAGAGACTTCTTTAGGTAACAGACATTTTCGTTGCTGGAGGTGTAGCAATGCATGCCATGGATTTTTAGCCACAAGAAAAGAACAGGCCTGAGAATTATATTCTTCGAATTCCATAGTTTGTAATTTTTTCTTTTAGTCCAACGTTTAACTGTATCACAGTTTCTTCTCCTTTGTGTCTATTTTGGAGCCCTTTGAACGCTGGGAGAGTTCTTTTTAAGATGTACATGTGACAAGGTTGACATGATGATGTTTGAGACTTTGTTTCTTTGAAGCAATGACACAAGAATTGGGCTTGAACGCTGCTCTCTGTGACCCTGACCCCAGGCCTGTGCAGTGGGACAGGCTCTCAGCTGGAAGCAGACAGGAGTTCCCTATGGGCTTTCCTCTCCAGATGGCCACCGTGCCAGGTTGGCATGTTTTGGTCATCCCAGAAAGATGGCAGTCTGGTCCTTTCACAGGACCTGCCGCCCGAGGGGACAGCTGTGGCCCCTGCTTCAGGCATACAGCAGACAGGACAAGTGTGGAACGCTCCGGGAAGACTGCCCGAGAGCCAAGATGCTGTATTGCTTTGTCTTGCATGCCAAGTGCTAAGGATTGGTTGGGGCTGCCAGAGGACTGGGAAACTTTTGTGGACACTTTAGGACTCAGCAGAAGAGAGTGCCCGAGACTGTCCCCACATCCGCCAGGAATGAGGAGAGAGAGGGGAGATCAGGAGAGCCCATATGCTGGCTGGCCTTTGCCGCCTACGGACCCTGTCCCTGAATTAAGCCAGGCTGGGCATGCGTTCACCGTATGTCAGCCTTGCACGGGATTGCTGTACTCACCTGTGTAATGAAATCGTCACACCGAGGCCTTATGAACCCCATTGCTATTAAAAACTGATGCCAAAGATGTTTTTTCATTCTATGACCTAGTACACTCTTCATGGTAGAAAGTTGTACTTCAGAGCTTTGCAAAGAGTTTGCTTATCTGGGCAGAGTCATACAACCTGGCCAAATGCTACATTTTTTTTCTGTAAAGGCCCAGGTAGTAAATATTTTTTTTCTTTTCTTTATTTTTTATTTTTTATTTTTTATTTTTTTTGTCTTTTTCGTTTTTATAGGTACCAGGGATCAAACTCATGACTGCCTGCTTGCAAGGCAGGCACTTATGGCACTGAGCTAAATCCCCAGCCCCTGGTAGTAAATATTTTAGGCTCTGTGGGCCCCATGATCTCTGTTGCAGCTACTCAACTGCCATTATAGCACAAAAGCACTGTAAATAACATGGGAATAAATGAGTGTGGCTGTGTTTCAATAAAACTTTATTTACAAAAGCAGTCAGTGGGCCAGATTTTCCCTAGAGGCTAGAACTTTTCACCCACAGATGTAAAGGACTCATGTGTGAACCTGACAGCTCAAAACAGGTGGGCTGGGGTGGGGTGGCCGTGACAGTGTTGGAAGACAGCAGGGGCTGATGGCAAAGGAGATGTCCCCAGGCAACAGGGCAGGTGACTGAATTTCCAGTTGGGATGCCTGCTGTCATTTTATATACAAGCAGTATGTCTGTTTAGGTAACCCGGGAAATTAAAGGAAATTGTTGATAAGCTGGGACACAGGGGTAAAGTAGTTTGTCTAAAGAATACTTTAAAACTCTGGACTTTGATTCTTTGGAAGTTGTATTTGTACTGGTCCCCAATTTTTCTCCTCCTTTGACCAGGTTTTGTTTGGTTGTTTTTAATTGCACGCAATCCCTTTTCTGGAAAGGCCTGGCCTTCCTCTGAACTGATCTGGACATTTTTGTTGTTTTAGTCCTGGAGGTACTTGGCAGTGTACGCAGGGAAGTAACGGTTTTCACTGTTTTGATTTCTCGGGTTGCTTACCACAAGAGAGGACCCTCCATTTCCAGAAATGCTGCTGACTTGTGAAAGATTTCTGCTCTATTTGCAAGTCCGTCTAAGGTCTTTATTTTTTCTGCTTTGGGTTCTTTTCTTAGGTACATCGTCAGTTAAATATTCCACCTTTAAACTTTTGTTTTCTTTGGGTTGCCAAAGAGGGAAGTGGTTGTGTAATGAGAGCATAAATTAGAGCTTATTGACATCTACCCAGCGGTCTTTACACAGAGTGCACAGTGGCGGAGAGGCCGAGCCCCATGAGTTTGTGCCGGGCCGAGGTTCAGGTCCTACCGCCTGCCCCTGAGAGCTTTGCAAGGCCCTGAGATGAGTTGGTCATTTGGGTTTCATCAGTGGCTTCTGCTTTACTGCTGGACACACACACACACACACACACACACACACACACACACACACAGTCACACTCACACACACTTTTAGTAGAACACTTGATTTATCTAGACCAAGAAAAAGAAGCAACAGGCCACACTTTCATAAACAAAAGCAAAGTCATAGCAAAGACAAAAGAAATTGTCATTTCTTAACACCGGCAGACACGAGGCTGATGAGGGTTTGTAACATCTCAGGTGAGGGAACCTGCACTGTTTAAGATGCATCTTTCACCCAGAGAAGCCTCCAGTCCTCGTGGTTCATGCTTTCCCAGGCTGAAACAATGAACAATAAATATTTCTTGCATATTATATCTTATTGGATTTTATTATGTGTGATAGTATAAACAAATTTTCTATGGAAAATGAGATAATATAGTAGCCATTGTTTGTTCTCTGCTATTTGGTTTTGAATGCCCTGTAATGTTTTCATTCTCTTGAATGGTTTTATACTGTTTTGTTATGATTGATACTATGGTATATAAAGTTATTATGCTCAACTATTTCAAAGAAAGAGACATTATGGTAGTTACTGTTAATTACGGATTGTCTTGTGGTGAAGTGCTGTGTTGCTTACATTGTTCTGATCTGATCTGCTTTGTTATATCCTCTTTTATCCTAATCTCTTTAAAATAAAAATAAATAAATAAATAAATAAATAAATAAATAAATAGGGGCTGGGGATTTAGCTCAGCAGCATAAGCGCCTGCCTTGCAAGCAGGTAGTCGTGAGTTCGATCCTCGGTACCGATAAAAAGGAAAAAGACATAAATAAATAAATATTTTGTGCTGGCAGAGAGACCCTACGTTAGTTAATGTAGCCACATGGACAGAATTTTCTTTTCTTTCTAAATTTTTGTTTAGAAATGAACAGTTTCTTTGGAAAACTTCTCTTAAAGATGATCTCCTTTTAATGACTCTCCTTAAACCCAGACAGCCTAAGTCACTGGTGGAGTTTTACACAGAATGAGCAGTGACCTGCAGTTTCCCAGGTGACTGAGTTACTGACTGCTCTGCAGAATGAGAAGCAGCGCTTGACTTTCCTGGTAAATAGACAAATGTCAGGTTGCGGTGGGTGGCATGTTCTGTCTGTCACACCCGATACCAGTGGGTTTAGACTCTCTGTGAAGTGACTGAAGAATCGATGAAGTGCTGGTGACCGATGGCTTCTTTTTCCTTTACTATCCTGTACATTTTCAGGGTATGGTCTGTGTTTTCTTGCAGCCCGATAATCTGTGCTATGTTACGGTAGGTTTCCACGTGAGCTGCTAAAATCTTGGGACAGCTCAGACTGCAGTTCAGTCTGTGGGGTTGTTCTGTGGCACCACTATGTAGAAATTTTCTTACAAAGTACGGAGAGACCCCAGTGGCTTGCAGCGAGGTGTCTGTGTGTGGAATGGCGCACTGCAGCTGAAGGGGCCAGAGGTGGCGCTGCAGGGAGGAGTGGCCTTGGCTACCTTGCTGTGACCCCTGGAGAGGAAGTGTTTACCTTGCGTGAGGGAGGGGACTGTCCTTCCGCCCCAGCTACCTGGGCCTTCTCCACAGAGGAAATGAGTCGGAGTTTCCCATAGGCACTGGACAAACCATGTTAGGTTTGCTTTGTTCTTTCTTTAGCTTCTGAAGAACGTTGGTTTAACCCAGGTTCAGATGGGCACGACTGGGAAATCAGATTGGGTTAAGTTTCCGCCAGCAGTCATTGTCTTTGCCCGAAACCCAGTGCTGGTCCCGCAGGCAAACTGGGAAAAGCAAGGGAGTAGATGGAGGTGCACCAAAGGAGTGGCCCTCACTGCCTGCCACCGGGGCCTCCCTCTGCTCCATCTGGAGATTTTTACATCACACGGAGGGCAAGTGAGTAGAAGCACCTGGTGGGCCAGCTCCAGTTCGAGGAATGTGGGATGTTGTGGCAGCCCGTTAGTGCCGGGGCCTGCTGGTGGCCCAGCTCCTCTCATATGTTTGCCTTTCGGACCTGCAGGTGAGTTCCAGGAATCCTAGGACACTCCCTGGAATTTCCTTTTCTCACCTACAAAGACAGGATGACTAAAAAAAGTTTGGAAGTACGAGACAAGCAATGTGGGCCCGACTGTGTTTTCTTTTGCAAAAGAAAAGAAAGATGAAATAGGCCAGTCACCCTAGAAGCAAGTGAAGCCCTCCAGGCTTTCTGAACTGACCCCAGTGCATGCTGGGAAGTGAGGTCACCGTAGACCTTTCCAGACCCACGAGGGTGAAGCGATGCGATCTTGGCTAACAGCTGGGAGTGAAATATACCCGAAATGGTGCAGAGGCACCAAGCTCTGCTGTTTGCAACCGTACCACTCAGATCATGCCAGGCAACTCTGCTTCAGGTTGTCTGAATTTTGCTTGGTTTGGTCTTGCCTTGTCTTGTTTTGTTTTGATGACCCACAGCGAAGCACCAGAATGTTTGCTTCTTCACTGACTTGCTCAGTAAACATTTGAGGGCCTGCCAATTTGTCAACTTGATTGCCGACTAGACCCTGGGCACTGCCAGCTGCTGAGGTCACAGAGGCAGCTGCATCTTCCTGTCTGCGAGGTCCCTCAGAGATTGTGAGGAAAGCTGCAGGCCAGGCTTCACTAGGACTGAGGGCATCAGAAAGACTCCTCTGAGCCTGGGTTTTGTGTTCCCTGTTTGCAGTGCCTTCCCAGAGGCTGGAGGAGCTGGAGTACTCTTGGTAGGGTGGATCATTAGAGTTTGGCTGAGGCCTAGTGCACTCTGGGTACAGTGAGTCATTAGAATTTGGCTGAAGCCTAATGTCCTCTGGCTACTGTGGGTGATTAGGACTTGGCTAGAGCCTAGTGTATTCTGAGTACTGCAGGTCATTAGAGTTTGACTGGAGCCTAGTGTTTTATGGGTACTGTGAATGACTGGGGCTTAGCTGGAGCCCAGTGCATTCTGGGTACTATGAGTCATTTGGGCCCTAGTGCATCCTGGGTAATGTGAGTCATTAGAATTTGACGGGAACTAGTGCATTCTGGATATAGTGGGTCATTAGAATATGACTGGACCCTAGTATATTGTGGATACCGTGGGTAATGGGGCTTCATACACAAAGATCCTGTCCTCTATGATGACAGTGGCAGGCCACTGAAGAATCACAAGCAAAAAAGGAAAAGTTTTAGATGCAAGTTTTGTTCAGCTTGCTCAGGCTGCCATGCTAAACACCAAACAGGCCAAGGAAAAAGGCCAGGTAACAAGCCAGGAGCTGTTGCAGCATTAGGTGAGGCGGAAGAACCTGAACAGAGGCCTGGGATGTGGGCATGGAGAGATTCCCAGGAGGTAGAGTCCACAACCAAGATTTCCATGAGTGGGAAGATAGAGGCGTGAGCAGTTTTCTGCCAGGGCATGTGGATAGTTGTGAGCTTTCTCAAAAGGTGATGCAAAGGCTTTGCCCCAAGCATTCTGATTTCAAATCCTGCGGAGTTTGAAGCTGCTGAGTGCACTGCTTTGGTAGGTGACTCGTTATTCAGAGGTTCAGGAGCAGGTCTGCTGATCCTCAGCATAACGCTCGCAGCCAAAGGCAACTGGGGGAGCTGAATCTGCCCCGGACCTCGGCAGTGTGGGAGAAATAATGGGTGCAGAGGCACTGGGTGAGAGGGACAGGGAGGAACAGGCCAAGAGGTCAGCAGCAAGTCGGAAATGCTAGTGACCCGGGCCCCAGGCAGGGCCAGTGTGTCGCCAGATGGAGCCGGGTGTCGGAAGATGGCTTTGGATGTAGCGGTGGCTGCCTAGTAGGCTGCAGGCAACTGTGGCAAAGGCGACTGTAATCCAGTATGGTGGTTCATATGAGTTATGTCAAGCATAGGTTTTAATAGATGTCGGCCCCAGGGGAGTCCTGTCCTTTCCTTACGTCAGGTATTTTAGAAAGGAAGTTACTTCTTTATTGTTATAAAGTATGCATAACAAAATTTACCATTTCAACCACTTTTCAGTGTACAGAATTCAGTGATGCAACTATACTGTTTTGCAAGAAAATAATTGTTTTCTTTTTTCTTTTCCTTTCTGTTTTCTTTTCTTTTTGCTTTCTTTCTTTTTTTCTTTCTTTTATCCCTGGGGATTGAGCCCAGGCTTTGCACCTGCTAGGCAAGCACTCTATCACTGAGCTACATCTCCAGCCCAAGTAAATAACGGCGGGAGGAGTGAATGCTCACTGTCAGTGGGTTGGAAGGCAAGTCTGTCATAACTGTCTTCTTTAAGTCCCTTGAACACGATGTTCCCGTGACAGGAAAGTCACATATGTGGCCCAGTTGTGGTAGAGTGCAGTCACGATCTCTGTGCGATGCTCGTTGCCCTGCTGGAAGGCAATGTGGACCCGCTTTCTCAACATGCACATGTGAGTGAACTTGTGTGTGTGTGTGTGTGTGTGTGTGTGTGTGTGTGTGTGCGTGCACGTGCCTCCATGGTCATGTGTCAGCCAGTGGGAAGCTGCAGCAGAGCCCACGTTGGATTGAGAGCCAAGCCCCCTGCTTGGACACAACTTCTTGCTGTCCTCACTACTTTAAACCCATTTCCTTGCCTCTGAAAGAAGGTAAATCCAGGCGCCAGCCATAAGCTGTAGATTTCAGAGAGATGAGAACGGGCACCTAGGTGCTGGGCACTTGTCCAGATGGGATGCGTTGCGATGGTCGCCAGCCTGCTGGGATAGTCAGCCCTTTCCTCTTCTCCCAAGGCCTTCTCCAGCCAGGGCTGCTTTGCTCCCAGCAAGTTTGGCACTGGAGGGGTTTGGGCTGCGACAGCTCCTGGAGTGCGTAGGTGGCCGAGGAGAAGAACCGCGACAGGGACTCGGGGAAGCAAGAATTGTTTCCCGATTATTTCTCCAGTGACCAGCTCAATAGATCATTCTCCTGCAGCCTGCAGTGGGAGCTCCGTGCGTTGTACTTCTAAAGTCTTAACCACTTTGGGGGTGGGAAGGGATAACCATAAACTCTAGAAAAATACTCCCTGGATGAGTCATTCTGTCCACCGGGTTCCCTTCACCCACAGAACCCTGTTAATAGCTAAGAAACAGTAGTGAAGAACGAGAACATGGGTCGCCATAGTCAAGGCTCACAGGTACTTTTAAAAGTCTTCCATTTCTCTTCCCTCCATTACTGATGCCTGTGTGTTATAAAAATGCACACACACCAGCAGAGCGTGGTGGCTCATGCCTGTGATCCCGGCACTTGAGAGGTAGAGCTGGGAGGATTGTTGCGAGTTTGAGACCAGCATGGGCCTAAAGTTAGTTCAGGCCAGCCTGAACTGCATAGGGAGACCCTGTCTCAAAAAGACCAAAAAAAAAAAAAAAAAAAATGCATGCATGTATTTTATCTTTTTAAATTTTTTTTTTATTTTGCAGTGCTAAGCAAGCACTCTCAGTGTTAGCTCATGAGGCCAGCTCTTATGTCCAGGACAGCTGTCCTGTACCATGTTCTCACATACTGTCCTTTGCCTGCCTTCTTGAGGAGACGTTGACAGACCCTATTTTCAAGTAGACAGCGAGACTGGATCTCCCAGATAGGTGTGGATCGCTGCCGGGGGAGGAGCTTCACTTTGGACAACAGAGTGTACTTTCTTTGTCTTTTCAAATGGCAATTCAGGGAAAAAGTGTGCAGGACCCAGCCTCCGGGGCTGGCCTAAGGCTGAGTCAGACCTAGCAGATACCCACGGAAAGGCGACAGGCAGGCAGGGCCTGGTCTCGAGTGCACCTGTGAATTTACCATCCACTTAGCAGTGTCCTCTTGGGGTGCACAAACCCCACCCCAGTGTCCAGGCCCATAGGAGCTGAGCATGCTGACATTCAACAAAGCCGTTCCAGGTTGTGAGGACCCCACAGTCAGGGAGCTGTGCCTATCTGGAGATTCTGTCTTGGGGAAGTCAGATTCCGGTGATCTCTGGGCAGATGTTGGTTGTTTTGTTTTTCAGTACTGGGGGATGGAGACTGACCCCAGGCCCTTTGCATGGAACGATAGTCCCAGCCCTTTTATGTATTCTTTTATTATTTTGTTTTGTTTTATTTTATTTAACAAGGCCTCACTGGGTCAGTAAGGGCTCCAATTTGTCCCAGCGGTTTTGGAGCTGTGGGCCCTACCCGTAGGAACTGACCTCAAAAATTTTGGGAAGCAAGGAAGAAGCATTCCAGCTGGGGTGTGAACCCACCTTGCATGGCATTCCCATGTGACAGAGGAGGACAGCCCAGAGGCCAGGCGCACCAAAGTTTAGGCAGGAGCAGAGCATCACACAGGTCTTTCAAACCTCCTTCATGGGGCAAAGACTGGTATCTTGTGCAGGCAGATCCCAGAGGCATCTTTCCCGACTTCCTGCTGTAGAAAAGGACGCTTTGTGTCCACCCAAAGCTGGCTCTGCCTGCTCTTATTAAAAGGTGAAGGACACCTGTGTCCCTCCTCACCGGGACCTTTTGAAAGCTGCCTTGCGCTTTGCCTTCCTGCTGGGAAAGAGCTCAGAACTCTCTCCAACCAAACCTGGACCTCAGGGTGGGGCCAGGGAGGGGTTCATGGCCTCGAGGTCCTGGCGTGATTCCTCATTCCTATCAGCTTTATGTAACGGAGGAGAACCGGTGCAGGAGTTCTGGGGTGACTTGGAGCTTCTGTTTCTTTCCTGACATCAGTTTCATTTGTCAAACTGGCAGTGCTTTCGATACGAGGCTCTGGCCCCAAAGTTATAAGGTCGTGGGCGTTTAGATTGCATACGAACCATATAAAATATATCCTACTCATTAATGAACCGACTTTACTAATAAGGAAACCAAGGCCTCTAATCCTTAGACCTTGTCTAATTTTCTAGTGACACTGGTAAGCAAAAGCTGACACTGAATTTGTGCACCGTACGTTGGGACTACGGTGTGCTACATTTTATTTAAACTGCAAAAAGCCTATGCTGGCAACACTTGTATTATTCCCATTTTAATGAATGAAGTTGAGGCACCATAACTTGCCCGTGATCCCATTCAAAAAGGTGAAGAAGCAGGATTCAAGCTCGAGTCTCCACGATGCCTGTGTTTGTATCTGCTGTGCTGCTCCTTGGAATTCTCTTGCTGTGACTTGCAATGTGGTACTGAAATAGTGCTGAGCTGTGAAAACACATAAATAATTCATAATTTATGAATAATAATATCAAAGTATTAACAACATACCGTTTCAAAATCAGCACGATTCCAATACAGGACCTCAGCAAGATGCATGGTGGTCATCTCCTGAAACAGGATTGCCCATGCACCCTCCTGGGTGAAAGGGCAGACTGACCTGTCTCTCACTTGGTATCTTTTGGCATTCGAATCCCAGTAACTGCTTTCTCCCATAACTTCGCTCTCTACAACGACAGGAACAATGTAAAGGTTCTGCCTGCACGGAAATCTCACACCGCATCTGTTTCTCCACTCCTGAGTGGCAGAATATCACTCAGTCACTCTGCCACCCTGTCTGCACCTCTTGAAAATAAAGTTAGATTTGTGGCATTATTGAAGCGTTAATTAAAGCTGCACTTCCTCTGTCTATTGGTGGTATTAGACGGCAGAACCATTCGTTACTGCGCATTTCCTGTTTCTATTCTTAGGATCTTGGCCTTTGCAGGGATGCATGGGCATAGTGCTGGCGGTCGGTCTTCTGCGCAGCACCTGGGCTCCATGGCATTTGTTACAGCTGTCTCGCTGTGCAGACATGAAATCTCCATTTTTTTGGCGTCTGTGCCAGTCGTGGTGACTTCCGGCTTTCAGCGAGTGTAAACATGGATGCCAACATGAGCGTCCTCTGAAACCTTACGTCCACCTCAATGCTGGGCAGGTGGTCTCAAACATGTCTGTGTTGACACTAAGATTTTCACTGGTAGGAAGCATGAGATGTAAGAACTTTCTAGACTGTTAAGAGCACACCACAGCCGGCCGGAGCCTTCCGTCCACACTTCAGGATCAAGGCCTGGCGTCCAGCCCCAGCTCCGTGGCCCTGCTGTTCCCCTGGGCTGCCCTGGGTGCGTGGTGTGGCTCCACCTGCCTCCTGTGCTTTCGTGTCTCTTGCGATCTCACTGTGACTGTCCAGCCTATTACAGGGCACATGAGGGACATGGAGGGACCTGGCTGCCACAGGATGTTTGCTCTTTACTCTGCAGGCTGGGGGAAGCCGGTGCCAGCATTTCAGGGGAGACCCGCTGGGGGTCGTGCCTTCTTGTCCAGCGGGCTGCCATGGAACAGGCGTGGTTTCTGCCCCGTGACAAGCTCAGCCTGGAGTTTCCTCTTTAGTGAAGAAGGTAGCACTAGGTTAAATGGTTAGATTTAACATAATCATCCAGACTTGTATTTACCAGAAATAAAATTCCCCAGGCCATTGTCCTTTTGGAAGTTTTGTCTCTGAAAGATGGTCCTCTCTCAGTTTTCCCAGTTAGCCTGTGGGCTTCACGAGCTCACTGCACAGGGCACCCGCCGGCCACAGGGAGGACCCCTTCTGAATACTTTCTGTGCTTGGCCCTGGGGGAAAGGGCAATGTTGCATTACCCTCTGATAGAGGAACCCCATTCTTTGAAAGGGTTTAATTGAATTGCAGAGCGCCGTGCCAGCCCGTGTGTCCATGTGGTGGTCCTGGGATGTGACGTATGCACACCCCCTCTTTGCTCTGCAGTCCTCAGCCCGTCACAGTGGTGTCCCCTGACCTGTGCACGTGGGCTCTTATTTTCCATTCCTTTGTGGGGTCACTGTGGGGTCTTTTCTCATGTTCTCTTCAGGGAGTCAGGGCTCCCCGCTATCTTTCCAAGCTCTCCTTTTTGGCATGTTTCCTCTCCACCTTGTGACAGTGCAAGTGAATGTTTGCACAGTTGGTTTCCCTCGCAGCTGCTTGGGTGTCTGCACAGAGCTCCCCAAGAGAGAACAGTGCCAAGTGCAGGCTGGGGCTGCCTCCCACTGACAGAAAGGCTCATCTCCACCCGTCTTTTTGAGAGGGTGAGTGAATGAAAAATTCGAGACTTGCAAATCACCACCTTTGATAAGTTGTGCAGACCTCTGGTCCCTTCAAATGTGGAAAGTGAACGTGAGCAACTTATGTAGACACAAGCCTGAAAAATTTGTGCAAAAGAATAAGAACAATGGTTGTTATATCGATATTTAAACCAAAAATAAAACTCTAAATTCATTTTCTGCTGCTATAACAAAAGGCCATGGTCTGGGTCATTATAAAGAAAAGAGGTTGGATTTTTGACTCCTGATTCTAGCAGTCCAACAGCATGCTGAGGGCTACATGGCAGAAAAGCACAGCAGAGCAGGTTTCTGCAAGAGGACCACCTGTGCCAGACAGTGAGGGGAGGCGCCAGCTTGCTCGTGTGGTAATCTATCCAGTGCATGAGGACTCTCATGGACCTAGTCCCGGGCCCCATGACCTCACTGTCTGGGAAACACCTGCCTCGCACTGCTGCTCCCCTGGCAACAGACTTCATTCAGCGTGAGCTTCGGTGAGGACAGACGTCTCCAGACCATGCCACAGCCCACACGGGCAAACACAGGCTTTTGGTTCATCTCTCACACATAACCCCATGGAGCAAAGCAAACCACCATGATCCAGGATTTCTGAAGAGGAGCTCAGGGGAGTGTGGAAGCCAGAGCTGCCTGAGCGACTGCTGCGGTAGGGGACTGAGCTATCCCTGTACCACCCTGTCCTCCAGGTGCTGGGCACACGTGGCCAGAGTCACGGATGGACTGCACCTGTCATCTTCCTCCATTTCCAGTAGTTTGACTCGGAGGTAACCGCATGCTGCTGGTGACTCCCATAATGGACAGAGCAGGACAGGCCACAAGATGGACCAGAGACAGAGGCCTCGTTTCCCCCTCCCACAGTAAAGCTCCCAAACCCACAGCTCATACTCAGTCTCCGTCCATTCCTGTCCGCTCCATGGGAGTTGCTCTTGTGATGCATCACTCGTGCTGTCCCTGCTGCCGAAGATGCCAGTGATATGCTCTTATCCTGACTCAGTTTCTCAGCAGCGTCCCAGCCTCGCCAGCTCCTTTTCCGTGCTGCCATAGCACCACACTCACCTGGGATCACTCCCCACTTTGAGTCTCTGAGAAGATCGGGCCAGCCGTGCCCAGCGTTTCTGCCTCTGCTTTCTTCCTGTCAGTGCCACTAAAAACGCACGGCATGACATTGTCTCCAGACTCCACGGACTCCCCCGGTCACCAGAGACGTCTCTGCTGATTCCAGACTCCCCTGTTCCACTGCCTGGTGCCCGTTCCGCTTGACTGTCCAATGGGCATTTCAGATTGAGTCAGGCCAAAATAGAAGCCTCCTTCCTCCCACATCCCAGAGCTGTTCCTTCTGATTTCAGTAGCTAGAACCAGTGACCATGCAGTGGCTCGAGGAAGCAGTGTGGGGGAGTCTCCCTTTCTTCTCCCCACCCCTCAACCGGCAAGTGGTCTCAGGAGTTCTTCCAGATCATTGGAAGATGCGATCACTGGAAGACTCCAGATCACTGGAGATCCCTTGATCTCCCCGCCTTTGACAAACTCAAGGTAAAGCCTTTGCATTTCTCTGCCAGATAACTAATCAGAGTGGTTTGCTCATTTATCTTATCAGACCTAATTCTCTCCTCCTTTAAGCCCTCTGTGCTCTGGAAGCCACAGCTTTCTTGGTGAACACTGATGACCAGAACAACAGAGATTGCAACAAAGGGGAGTTGATTTCTACCATCAACACAGTCAGCCCAGGCTACGCAACAGTTGTCCTGAACTGCAGCAGGCATCCAGCCCTGTGCACGCATCATAACCAGCAGGGTGTCAGGAGGAGGAGGAAGACAAGGAGGAAGGAGCCTTCCTTCCCCTGTCCTGGGCCCCACCCCTGCATCCCACTGCAGGACCAGGAACCTGCCTGTGCCTGGCAGTGACGTTGCCAATGGGTGTGGCTTCACTTTGAGCTGGGAGCCTGCAAGAGGAAGGGAAGGTGGTCCCTGGAGCCAGCCAGTGGTCTTCGCCCAGTCGCCCTTCAGCTCTCATTGTGCGTTTTCCAGACTCCTGGCTGTGGTCCGTGCAATCCTGCAGGGCCAGGCCCAGCTGACCCACAGCAGGCCTTAGCCAGAAAGAACCCTGGGCTCCCCTGTTCTCAGATCATTGGTTCCCACCTCGTTTCTGCCTCATTGCCCATCCCAATCTCTGCAGACCCGGCCACATCGTGTCCCTGCAATCTCTGCTCAGATGACACCTGTGGGGCTCTGTCAGACCATCTAGTCTCACTTCTTTAGACCCACTCTGCCTTTATCTGCGTGTTTGTGTCTCCACACGGGCCCCCACCCACTCCAGAGAAAATACCACGCAGCAGGGAGCTTGTAGGTGTTGTTCTACACCTTATCACCAGCCCTTAGATTTGTCCCAGGCGTGAAATGGCCACAGATGTGCTGGTTGGGTAAAGATTTCATGGGACATGGTGGACATCTGTGTGGCAGCATTGCAGAATGGATATACCTGTGCTTACCAGGGTGAGGCCTGAAAGGGAGCTCGATTTTCCCATTCTTTCTGTGCTGGCGTATCATACGATCATGCTGTATTAACAGTGAAGAAACCAGACAGCTGATGTTGTCAGATATAGAGGCAATATGCTAAAACATCTCCTAGAAGCCATGTGACCCAGAGGGATGGGCTGGATGCCAGTATGATCGGATTGCAAACTGCTTGCTCAACCCTACAGCCATCGGCTGATGAATTGATATCAGTCAGAATGAGGCTCGGTGACTTGGTGAAAACGTATGTGTGCACGTCGCATGGCACAGAGGGCGGTGTGAGGAGGAAGGGTGGGTGGCCATGATACCCTAGGCTGTCCTTCATTTCATTCCCCCAGCATCGCTGCTGTTATTTTCATGATTATATCATTGAATTGCTGAGAGGAAGGGCACAGCTAGGCTTTGGGCTCTGTGCTTCCAGTAGGTGTACAACAGAAGTGTGTGTGTGTGTGTGTGTGTGTGTGTGTGTTGCTGGGGATCAAATCCAGCGCCTTTCACAAGCCAGGCAAGCACTGCAGCACCAAGCTACACCCCCAGCCCAAGGGAGATTGATGCATGACTAACATCACTGGAGGCTGAGCGGAGTCTTGCCAGGGCTGCTTCGGTGGGTGTGAGAAGCGTTTGGTCAATGTAAAGAGTCGGAGAGTGTCCTCTGCATTCCCTGAAAGTGTGGAGCTGTCATCAGCCGCCGTTGTCCCGGTCGCTCCTACTGTTGGTGAGCTTTCAGGGACGGCAGACGCCAGCCTCAGCGGTAGACTCCTGGTGTGTGCTGCAAGCTGGTGGCTTGGCAGCTTGGGAGCAGGACAGTTAGGCCTGAGTTCCTCTAAAGCTAACTTTCATGTACCAAAGAAACAGAATTGGACTCGTTTCATAGTCTCGCTCATGTTCAACTCATGCACATTGGGCTGAGCGCCATCCAGCTTTCCAGACTGAGAATGACGGGTCCCCAAAGCAGCTCATCCCTGGGCCACGTTCTTCCATAGATGACACGTCCACTTGCAGGTGATCCTTGAGCACACGCAGAACTCCAGGCCCCGTGGAGCATCATCTCTGCTCCAGCCCTGGGGACTTAGAAGATCACGGCAGATGGGGAAGCATTCCTGTCCCGTACATGTTAGGCCTGGACTAGGACTCGACTGGGCCCTGGAAAGGGAGAAAGCGAAAGCAGGTGTCAGACAGGAAGAGGGATGCGGGGTGTGCATTGATCTTGCTGCATCCTTCAAGACTGGTGTCTTTTAAAATAATCCTGCCTTTTTCCCCCCTGATGTCTTTGCCCCACAGTGCAATGGGATGTGAGGTTTTGTGAGTCCCAGAGATGGTGGAGAAAGCTCCTTCCTCCCAGGCTGTGCTGACAGCTGGTTGCTATTAGAGAGAAACGGACAGATGGTGGCAGCCGGCCCGGTCATGCTGAGCCGGAAGTCTGCTCATTTCATCCAAAATCAGGGCCTGTTTTTGAAACACAGCGTAGTGTTATCACTTTGGTATTTTAGCCTAGACTTGGACGTTATTACTTTTTGAGGCTGCATAATTTTTCGAGGATGGACATATCAGCTCAGCAAAGAGATAAGAAAAAGGAGAGCACATCTTTGGTCCCAGCAAGACCGTGGTCCAAGACAGCTTTGCTGTGGCGCTTGTGACTCTCAAGTCTGGCTGCAAGTGGGCCTACAAACCCCAGCTCCCTTTCTTATGCTCTGTTTTGCAGTGTGGGTCGTGGTTCTTTGCTGAGTCTGGAAGGGCCACCTCCTCAATCTGTTCTGTCCACTGCATGGGCTCTAGACCAGCTGTGCGAGTTAACGCCTCCCCCTAGCTCAGACCTGTGTGGGGCAGGAGGAAGAGGTGCTTGCAAGAAAGAGGCTGAAGGTGGTGATGTGAGGCCGTGAGACATGTGCAGAAATGGGAGGCTCAGGGGCTCTCACAGGACCCTGACGCCCTCCTGCTCCCTGCTCCCCAGCTCAGAGGACTTCCCTGCTCACCCACAGCCTCCTCCTCTAGTTCTCTGCATATACTTAGGTCTTAAACTGTGCCAGAAAACACACACAATTGACCCACATAACCAGTTTTGTTTTTGTTTTTCTTTTTTTTTTTCAATTGGTACCAGGGATCGAACTCACAACGGCCTGCTTGCAAGGCAGGTTCTTACGCCGCTGAGCTAAATCCCCAGCCCCTCATAACCAGTTTTTGAAGCTGCCCTGCAGCAGAGGGAAGTATGTCCCCAGGGGTGGACAGCCGTCACCACCACCCATCCAGACAGCATTTCAGACCCATTAAACAACTGTGCCCCTCGGCCGCCAACAGCCAGCATTCATTCATTATCTCCGGGAATGCTGCCACGGCCCCAGGTGTCTCACAGAAGCGCCCTCCTGTCGCTTTCGTCCTTTCCAGACTGATGGGGTTCACTGGCTGTAGTGCTCTTGAGCTGGCCCTGCACCTGAAGATCCACTCATCTGTCCACTCTCTCCTCCCAGGATGCTGGGGTTGCTTCCTCATGTTAGCTGACCTGATAACACGAGTGTAAAACCTTTCTCGGCTGTTGCTTTTGATGCTTTTGGGTACAGACTCAGAAGCTGGGTTGCTGGGTCACCCGGGAACTGCTGCCCCGGGTTCAGTTTTTTATCCCATTGGCAACATTTCACATTCCTGCCACCGTGCACGGAGGCATCCATCTTCCTCTCGGTGCACGCGGTGGTTCTGTGTTTGAGAATGGTCCCCGCATGGCTGCACTCTGCACACAGATCGGTGGGGATATGTGGGGCGCTCCTGATGGCAGCACTCGCATCATCCTATTGATTCCCACTCCCCGAATTCCAAATCCGCATATTGGGTGATTCCATTTCGTTTGCTGAATGAATCCCTTTCTTTGTTTCTGGGGAGGCGTTGTCCTCTCCCTGCTTCCAGGACAGTCAACCGTTTTGATCACGTACAAAATGAAGCAACGTTGAGAGCTGGAAAAGCGATGTGTCTGCTCAGACAGGAGGCACCCAGCTCTGATTTGATTTTAGGGCAATTGGTAAGGAAGGTTTGCTCAGAGGTGCCGTGTTGAGTTTTTCTTTTGGGCAGTGGGAATTCCTCTAAAAGAACCGCTGTAGCCCGGACTCTCTGCCTGCAACCTGCCCCTCAGCCCTTCTCTCCTGTCATCCTGAGAGAGTGTAGTCAAGGATGCTGACAGTTCCTGAGTTTCTGCAAATCTTTGAGTGCAAGGCAAATACCCTTAAACATTTTTTTGTTTGTTTTTTGTTTCTTGAGACAGGGTCTCACTGTGTATTTCAGGCTGGCCTCAAACTCACAATTCTCCTGTCTGACCTCCAGAGTGCTAGTGTAGCAGGCATGTGCCACTGTGTCTGGCCTATATTTACTTTTTAATCACATTTTATTTTGAAATTAGTTTCAATTTCCAGAAGACTAGCGAAAGTAACACAGAGAATTTCCACACACCCCTTGTCCGCCCAGCATTCCCTAGTGTGGGTATTTTATGCAGTCATGGTGTGCTGACCAAAGCTAAGAAACCGCGTTACTAACCAGACCACAGGGCTTTGTTTGTCATTCCCCCGCTTTTCCTTGTCTGTCCTTTTTCTGTCCTGGGACCCTTGATTGCAACTGGTTGTCAGATCTCCGTAATCTCCCCCAATTTGTGAGAGACCCTCCATCTTTCCGTCTTTCGTGGCCTTGTCACTTGTAAGGACAGGTTACGAAGGCTGGCACTTTGCAGAATACCTCGGGTGGATTTGGGGAGGAAGCTTAGGACCGAGTTGTACTTTTGTCATTTTAATGGGAATTATGAGACAGAGGCCGGCCTACACCCTTGGGTGCCTGCCTGTGTGGGAAGCAGCTCCTTTCCTAAGCATAAGGGGCCTGGGCCCAGGCCAGTGGCCGAGCGTCAGACTCTCCCAGCACCCTCCAATGGCACCCTGGAGGGAGAAGAAGGTGGCCCAGATGGAAAACCTCTACACCGATTCCTGCACACCAGCAGGCTGGGTAGCCCATGGTCAGGGCCGCAGCGGTCTTGATCTCACTGTCTTCATCTATAAAACAAGAGCATTGGTCATCAAAGGCCACTCTGAGCCTGTGGCTGTCCCCTACAATGCCTGGCATTGCTGCAGTGGAACAAGAGGCCTCAGAGCCCCCAGCACACAGCGCAGGACAGCTGTGACCAGGCGGTGCCAGCCGCCTCTGTGGCATGGAGGACAAGGCTGCCTTGGAAGAGCCAGGAGCCTCTGGGTGGCAGCTTTAGGGAGCCCCTCCCTCTCGTTCCAAACTGGGAAACTTCTGGAGATGACAGAGAAGGGGAGGTCGCAGTGCCGCTGGCTTAGCGCAGTGTGTGTGGAACAGCGAGCTTCACTTGCCCGCCTTCCCAGGTCCCTGCTTGCACCACCCGCACCTGCACCCCTCCTTTCTGCCTCTCACCTTTCCTGTCTTGGGTTTCTGAACTCCAGATGCTTTGCTGTCAGAGCTGAGGGAGCTTCCAGGGCTGCATGTAGCTAACCTCAAGCCGAGTCATTTAATACACCTGTCTTTCCAGGCAATTAAAGACTTGGCACATGCGTGGAAAAGCGTTTGCTTTGAGAAGTCAGTGATAGCTCTTATTTGCAGACCAGCAGAGGCAAGTGTGTGGAGGGGACCCGAGGCCCGCGTCGTGGAGGCATTGCATCTGGCGGCGTCCACGCAGTTCAGAGCTGAGGCCCTTACTGGTCTTGGCAGCCTCCTGGGTTATTCTGTGGCTGCTCTTTGTCAGAAGATGAGCTGAAAAAACTAAGTTGACCGAATTTCCCCTTGAAGCATTCCAGCTCGAGGACATGTCTCATCCCGGCAACCGAGGCTGCGGAATGCAGTCGATGCTGAGGACAGGGAGCTTTTGTTTCTCGTGGGGGCCAGCTGCAGGCCCGAGTGCTGGCCCATAGCAAGTGGGCAGGGACTGCCTGGCCCTTTGTCAGGCAGGGCTGACGCTCGGCTCAGCACACTGTGGCCTTGGAGGACTTCAGGAAGCCCACAGATTTTAAGGGACCGATGTGATGGGTCTGATGGCGGGAAGAGGTGAATCTATGCCTTGTTAGTTCTGAATCTGCGACTCCCACCCCAGAAAGCATCTAGATTCTGGAACATTTCAATTTGATTGTGGAAAACTCACAGTCTATAAAATTGACCGTTTTAACCCTTTTCGAGGAGTCCAGGACCACTCACATTGGCTGAGCCGCAGCCCTGCCCCCACCTCCAGAGCTCTGCGGTAAAGTGGGGAGCTCTGAACCCCGTCGGTACTCGCCCTCCCTTGGCCCTGGCCACCATGCTTCTGCTTGGTATTTTGGTGACTCTCACGCCTCTGAGGAGCTGTGCGCGTGGAACCCTACCACACCCGTCCTTTGTGACTCGCTTGTTTCACCCTGCGGGGTACCTGGTGGTGCCACCTGTCAGAATCCCCTCCCTTGTTACGGCTGAGTCACCCCACTGAACGGAAATAGCATGTCTTGCTCACCCTGTCACCCCTGGATGGCTTCCACGTTTCAGCGACTGTGAAGGATGCTGCTATGAATGTGGGGATGCAGGTATCTCTTCCAATTCCCGCTGCCAGTTCTCGGGGTAGAGGCCCAGAAGTGAAAGTGTTGGATTGTAGGTTTGGGGACTTTCTTTGAGGTTCTGCTCTCACTTATCATAAGCATTAGTGAATAACAGTGTTTGCTGATTTAAAACAACCGCAACAAGTGGTAAAAACAAAACACAAATGTGGTCATTATTTAGTAATTAAGATTCAAGTTTGAACTAGTGGGTGATAGGGCAGTAGACACTGCCCTGTTCTGAGTTGTGCTTTCTTTGCAGCATTAAGGATCTTCATTTCTGTTCGTGCCTCCTGGAAGCTGTGTTTTAAAGCAATTTTCCCATTGATATATTTATACTTACAAGGTGTTCATAATATGGACCATCATAGTATGCGCATATCTATCTATGCTTTTGAAGAGTTAAGAGCGTTTTGTTTCATTTTTATTTATTTGTTTTCTTGAGACAGGATCTTACCACACTGTCTGCGCTGGCCTCCCACCCCAGAGTTCTGGTGGTCTTCTGCCTCAGTCTTCCAGAGTAGCTGGGATTACACGTGTGCCTCCATGGCTGGCTTAAGACAACAGTATTCATTTACAGTTAATGTATTGCTTTGACACATTCAATACAGGGCTGTAGTTCATATGTGTTTCTGCCAGGCAACTTGAATGGTACATGCATAACGGTCCCATCCATCAGCTTTTCTGTTAATTTTATTAGTAAAAAGAGCAGTGATAAAGCGATTCAGTCGGTTTGTACCATCAGTGGTGTAAGTGCTCCATGGCACAGTTGTGCATGCACCACCGGTGGGTCAAGCCCGTGGGAACGTGTTAAAGCCTAGCATTGTAGAGCAGATACACAACAGGAAATTCTGAATTCTAGAGAAGCGATTGCCTTGCACAGTCACCGTGGAGTCTCTTCACAACTGCATGCTCTACCAGTGCACGAATACTTAATTCACAGTACAAAACAATGCAAGTCACACAGACTTCATTCTCCAGCTCGGAGCAGTGGGTACATGTCCGTATCTGAGGCTTGAGCCTGGCTGGCAAGTTCTGAAAGTCGATAACTCAACTCTGTCACTGTGTTGACCAAACAGGAGATCTCCTTGGGGAAAACACTTGAGTTTCATGTTGGATTGAGCAGAGCAGCACCTTTGAAGCGTTCTGCATGTAGAAGAGAAGCGACCTTGACCGAGTCATTTCCTTCTGTTAAGTTCCACCGTGTGTTCACAGTGCCGAACGCATAGGTATAATGACACAGGCAAAGAGCTCGGACATGAGACAGATGAGGACAGATGGGAATCTGGTCTTCTCGTTATCTAACTGGGATGCACACACCTGTCTTGTGGAATTGGGAGGGATGTGACTTCCTCCTTGTGGTAGCAAGTTGTTTGAGAGGAGCGTGGCTGACGGACTTCAGTGGTGATACAGGCACAGACAAGGATCACTCAGCAGAACCCCAGTTGCACAAGAAATAACATCCAGGATCAATAAATGGGATTGCATCAAATTAAAAGGCTGCACAGCAAACAGCCAACAGAATGAAGGAACAGCCTACAGAATGGGAAAAAAAGTGCCAGCTGTTCTTCAGATGGAGGACTAACATCTAGAATATACAAAGAACTCAAAAGATTAGACCCCCCTCAATTTAAAAATCCAATCCCAAAATGGACATCTTGAGTAGACACTTCTCAGAAGAAGTACAGATAGCTAATAAATACATGAAAAAATATACAGTCCTACTGGCCAAATCCAAATTAAAACAATTCTGAGGTTTCTTCTTACTCTAGAAAGAGTGGCTATCACCAAAAATGAAATAAGGACAAATGCCTGGAGGCTGCAGGGGAGGGGACGCTTCTGCAGTATTGCTGAGGATGCAGTACAGCCCCTGTGAGAGCAGCGTGAAGATTCCTCTAAAAACCAAAACTGGAAATTCCATTCAACCCAGCTAGTTCCCGCCTACGGATCTTTCCTTCAGAGCTGCAGATGTCCTGTTACCCAGGTATATGTGTGCCCGTGTTCACAGCAGCACCGCTCCTGTGAGCTAAGTCTTAGGAGTGGCCCGCACGTTCCTCAGCAGATGAGTGAATAGAGAAGTGTGGTATTTATGCATGGTGGAGTATTACTCTGTCAGAAAGAGACAAACGAGTCCTGCATAGGAAAATGGATCCACCATAATGTTCAGTGAAAGAAATCAAACACACAAGTGCCAATATTGCATGGTTTCTTCTTATATGTGAAACCCAAAGCATAAATAAATTAAAGAGCAAAGTGAAAAATAGAAGCTGGAGGTTGATAGCTTTACAAATAAGAGGGAGATCTTCAGCTGGAGGGAGGACGTTAAAAGGATTAAGATGTGCTATGGGTGTGTACCACCGCCCCACAATGTGTGATACTTATGCACCGCAAATATGTACTAATAAAAGTTTTAAAGATGATTATAAGAAAAAGAACCATAGCCAGTAGTTTGCTGTGCACTGCCAGGCATGGTGCTTGCTCCTTTGTGCTCTCCTGTGACCTGATGGCACGGTGCTGTGACTGTCCCTGTCTCGCAGTGCAGGGGGTGGAGGGTGCTGCAGGGGGCTCCCTGAGCCAGGCAGTGTAGAACCAGGGTTCTCAGCGCATCGTGCCTGACTGTGCCTTCATCACCAACACGTCATCACCTCATGGTGCTGATACTTAGCTTGGGTGTTTTTACTGAAGCCGCTGGGACCCCTCGATGAGGTGACTCAGCCCGGCTCTGCTATCTTGCGCTTGATCTTGTCCAGTGGTTGGCAGAATAGACAGAAGCTTTCAGTGTGAGGTCCCTGGGAAAAGTTGAGTATACAGTGGAGAAAGCCACATATTGCTCTGCTACATGTGTGTGGCCCATGGCTGGGGTAACCCCTGAAATGGGGTCTCCCTCAGTTCCTGCAGAGGGGTGCTGTGGGCAGAGCCAGTACTGTGCCTGGAGTCCAGGGACTTCACTGTTGGGCCCTGTTAAGGAGATGCAGGGAGAGGACTGGAGAACCTGAGCCCCTTCCCCGAGGGCGCAGGGCTCACGAAAATGGTATCCAGGCTGTCACTGTGATGTGATGGAAGTGATTTTTAATGCTCCAGGTGACAGAATTTTTCCAGCATTTCCTCTGAGATGGCTAGGTCCATGTGACTAATTCTGGCCCAGGGGTACAGTATGGGAAGACCCTTCCCTTGTGACCTGGAGCGTTAATTTCCTGTGTGAGACCCCCGGGCGCCTTGCACATCAGCCAGTGGCTTGGGGAAGACAGCTGCACCCCTAGTGTCAGCAATGAGCAGAGCCCCAGGTGGCCCCCACAGGCCAGGAGTGTGAGCTGGATGTGAGCTGTGGTCAGTGTCGTAAGCCTTGGAGCTTACAGCGCAGCCCCTGACTGATTTGCAAATTCACTGTGGCTTTGTTCTGTGCAAGAGGACAGCTTGTGTGCCATTTCTCTATGACTCAGTGTGACCCAGGACTTGCAAGAAGGATGTTAGTGCCCCCTGGGGTTCAGCTTGCTTGGGAGGAGAGTGATGTTCAGCATGTGTGAGGGCCTTGTTCATCCTCAGCTCCGATAATAAACACAAAAGCCATGTGTTTCGGTATTGTAAACCCCAAAATCGAGTTTAGTCATCCAAGCATTGTAATTTTCTTTTTAGTCTACCTCACAATCCAAAAAGTTATATTTGTAATCCCTTTGAGACGTTATTGGAATCCCAGCCAGTCAATTCCAATCTACCACCACCAGTGCAGTCCACGAGAGTAAAAACACAAAGGTGTATGCCAAGTTAAGGGCAGCCAAGGGGTCCTAAGTACAATCTTTGTGAGGATATGTGGACAAAGACCTCGTTCCTAGGCCTTTCCCAGCATTTATTATCTTGTGAAACAAAGGGGGTCGCTCAGGGATGAGTGATAGTCAGGATGTCACGGTTTACTGAGTAACTTGAGCTGGCTGGCCAGGTGCAAGGATGGCATCTCTGGGCCTGGGGATTTAGCTCAGTGGCATAAGCGCCTGCCTTGCAAGCAGGCAGTCATGAGTTCAATCCCCGGTACTGATAAAAAGGAAAAAGTCAAAAAAAAAAAAAGAATGGCATCTCTGTAATTTACAGAAATAAAGATATGCAAAAGGATCAATTTACATAACCCAATTAAGGTAACAGTGCAATTGTTTTGGGGGCTATGCTTTGGTTTCTGATATGCAAACTCTTGTGCCCTGGGGAGTCAGAGCCTCTTATCTTGAGGCTCATACCCAGGTGACATTCCCGGAGCTGTTTGCTCTAACATCTCACCAGCTCAATCCTGTATGCAGGAAAGCACCAGGTGAGGAAACAGGACTGTCTAATGGCTATAGATTTTGCATATTAGCATCTCAGCTAGCCTTATTTGCAAAACTAGGAGCCAACTGAAGACAAGGAAATATCCTAGCTAGCCTTTCACATATCGGTATAAGGAAATGAGTCTCCAAATATTCAAAATCACAGCAATTGTTTTGGATCCAAAGGGAGTCACTGGAGTTGTCTCCCACATTTCGGGTGTGCAGGGTTTTATAGGAGCAAATAAGAAGCTCCTAAAGTACAGTCCAGTGTCACAGGCCTTTGTATATATGAAGTCTACTCTATCGGTCGGATTTCTGTCACCATGACAAGATATCTGAGAAGGTCAAGTTATAAGGAAGAAAGGTTTTATTTAGCAAACTGTTTCAGGGTTTCTGTCCATGGCCACTTAGCCCCACTACCTTGGGACCTCGGATAGGGCAGGACATCATGGTGGCAGCATGTGGCAAAGGAAACTGCTCACCTCATGGCCCCCAGGAAGCAGAAAGAGAGGGAGAGGAAAGGTTGGGGACCCAGCATCCCGTTCAAGGCCACACCACACGCTTCCTTTGATTAGGTTCCACCCTCTCTCTGTGTCCTGACAGGTAGGAGTCAGGCCTTCAGCACATAGCATCTGTGGGGCTGTTAAAACCCCAACTGTAACATCCATCCAGTGTCTGAACAGCCGGCTTCTGGAAAGTGTCAGGAGGTGTTTGATTCATGGGTGAGGTCATTGCTGGGCCCTCGGCTGTCTAGAACACTGTCGTGGGTACATCCAAAGTCCACGTTCCCCGCAGTGTGCTACTCTGGTGGGGATTGAACTCAGCACCTCGCGCTTGCAAGAGCACGAGCCGGCCCCTGAGCTGTGTCCCCAGCCCCGGCAGGGTTCTGCTTACGGGCTCCTCATTACCGTGTGTGAAGCAGTTCTTTATGGAAAGCCTTATACAGGACCTGCGAACTACATCAGAAACCACAGCTGGCCGGCAGAGGTGCCTCAGGCTCCTGTTTGTTGGTGAATTCCTCCTGGTTTGAAACTGTCGTCTAAATATTCCCAGAATGTGCTCCACCTGCTGCATTTGCCCCTGTGTCAGCACTGCGCCAGCTTAGGCCCCAGCTTTCTGTTAATTATGTCTTGGAACAGATATCACTTAGAATCCCATACCCGACTCCCCTGTCACGTCCCACCCTCCCTTCCTCCCCTCTGTCCCTGCTCCCTCCCTCTGACCTTCCCTTTTCCTCCTCTCCCCACTCTGACACGCACTTACTCATTCCCATCCAACCTCATAGTCACTCTTTCTCTCCCCCTCACCGAGATTTAACTCAGCGCTCCCCTAAGATCCCTGATGCCAGGAAACCTCTGCACTTGATTCATCTTCCCTGTGAATAAAGCTGCAGGAACCTTTGAAGCTCTCCTGGGAACAGGGGCGGGCTGGTCCTCATCAGTAATCCAGCTCCAATGACTCCACTTTGAACTGCACCACTTTCTCCGTAAGCACCGATTCCCAAGGTTTAGCTCTTCAGCTTGTGTGCAAGTGGATGCCAAACGAGAGGAGGACTGGGGGAGGGATTTAGTGTTTGGGGAGAGGAAAATGGCAGCACTGTAACCCCCAGGCCCCTCTCTTTCACAAAGCCGAGTAGAAGTTGTTGTCCCTCCCTCCTCTCCCCTCCCCGCCTCTCCTCCCAGCCCTCTCCCCCCAGCCCTGCGCATGCTATACCTCACAGGGCTGCCTGGCGTTGACGGCGCTCCAGGGCACACTCAAGATACAGATTTCACCCTTGGCTCGGAGACACACACTCGGCACTTTCTCAGCCAGCGTTTCATGCTCCTGAGAGCTCATAGATCATCTTTAAACAGGGTTCTTTTCTGCAAAGCACTTTCCACTTAACAGGCATCAAACCTAATTTTAAAAAATATTTTTAGAAGCTTTGTTTTAAAATCACCTTTAAATCTTGGATATGTTTACTCAGGTTTATCCTATTCCTTATACATTCTTCTTCCTAAACACCTTTTGGACTCAGCCTCTCTCCACTTCATTTCTCACCTCCCAAGTTGGAGTCAGCGTTCCCCTACCCTGTGTGCGAATCATCACCCATCACCAGCTGCTTATTCACCCCCCAGGCTCTATCACATCGGACAGGAACACTCCCTGTCTCCCCCCAGGAGCCCTTGTCGGTTCCTTCTTCCTTCTGGTGTTATTACCGCTTAACAGTCCTATTCCCTTCCGTCTTGATGGTTTCCTTCAGAAGTACAGAAAAAAATCCTTGAATCTAATTTTGCCAAGAGGAAAGAACCTGTTTGTTGGCGGGAGCCTCTGGTAGGGAAGTGCATTCTAGAATTGCTGCTGTGGACAGACTCGGTCTCAGAGGCAAGCCAGGCAGAGGAGGGGCGCTTCAGGGAGCTCCCCGTTACGAGTGCCAGGCTCACATGGAGCGGAAAGCACAGTGG